AATAAGCTTAAACCAAATTTGTGCTACTCTCACAGACACTGCACTAGGTCCACAAACATCGCCAATTTTTTTCGCGGCTTGCGTTGCATTTTTACCTTTTTTGTAGTAAAATTTTAAAATGTATCGAATTTCTTCATTAGATTCACTTATCTTGACGGTACGAAAAATAAATAAAAATTACACATTATCCCAATTTGAATTTGGAATTATCTTCTTTAAAATATCAACTATAGTATAGCCAAATAGATTTTATTACAAGTTCATACATAGTATAATGCGAAAAGACTTTTTCCCCAACCTAATATATATACCTTAGTATAGCGTGGCGTTCCGTCGCCACGGCAAGCGTCGCCACGCCAACAATTCCGTTTACAAGTGAGCCTATAGATGTTTCACTTCAAAAAACACGAGGATGTCTTTATTCTATGGAAATTATTTTGTGCAAAATGTTAGTAATACTCCATTACCTAATTTTGCTTTCCTGAAATAGATCGCAACATCCATAAAGATAGATAATTGTAATTCTACCAAATAATCATAAAAATTAATGCGACAATTTAATAAAAATAAAGAACGGTGATAATATAATATCTTTGTTTCATCAAGGTCATAATATTTCCGTGAAAAGATTGATGCTAAGTTATTACGTTCTAGATATTCGACAAAATGTGCCGTCGCAAATTGCGGTACAGTGTTGTCCATAATATATTTAATAATGGAAACAATCGTAAATAAATAAATTTGCTCTTCCGTCTATTTAGATAAAATAACGTAATTTACATTTAGTTATTTTTTTACTATTTACACTAAATAAATAACAATAATAGTATAGTAGGAAAAAAATAGCTTTCATTTGATATATATATATATATATTTGTATATGTAATGTAAATAGTATCCTAGTTATAATTGTTATTCACCTTCTTTTATTTTTCTTAAAAATAGATTTTGCTTTTACGAGTTTGTTCCACAGGGAAAGCGATATATAACTAATATGTTTGAACCGCCTTTAAACACTACACTAAAAAATATAACAAGATAAAAGAATACAAAGCAACAACAAAAACTAATGATAAATAGAAGTATAGCAAATTCTATAATTTTGTGTCAGTCCTAACGTCTCTTCTCAACTGTTTTGGCATTTGTAATTGGCAAGCGAAATAGTTTATAAAATTATCACTTAAATAAATTTACTTTTGACTAAATTTCATGACATTAGAAGCTGGACCAATAGTGCTTGAGCTATGGCTTTGTAGATATTGCTATTTCCTAGCTTAAAGCTCGTATAAAAAAGTGCCGATAAATTTATTTAAATTATGTGACATTTTCAACGACTCTAGGTCACAGTAGTTAATAGTTTAATTGTTCTGAATAATCTTTGGACGTGAAAAACTTGGTATCAATAGGCATAATAGATAATGTTTCGGACCGTCAAAACATAGGATTTTTTTATTATAACAGGAGGCAAACGTGCAGGAGGCCCATCTGATGTCAAGTGATACCGCCGCCAATAGACACTCACATAGCCAAAGGGCTCGCAAGTACGTTGCCGGTCTTTTAAGAACTGGTAAGGTCTTTTCTTGAAGGACCCTAAGTTGAATTGGTTCGGAAATACTTTAGTGGGCAGCTGGTTCTACATAGTGGTGGTGGCTGTCAGAGGTGGAACGACAGACGTCGAGGTGATACGGGTGGAATTTCGTATTCTGTCGGTAAATACGGTAGAAGGTGCAGAGAGACCGTACATCATTACGCATCGTCAAGCCGTTCGGAAAGTGACTGGCCGTCGACGATTGAATCGCTTTTCGTTGATTACTGTGGAAGTGGAAGGAGCTGGTAGTTGGGAGCTCCCACCCAGAGGTGAGAACAGTACTCCAAGTATCAGTATGTATAATGTAATGCATCAATATAAATACTTTTATTAGCGTTAAGAAAGCTAAAATTAACGATCCTGCAACAAAATCCAATTGTCAGTAATTAATCGAAGTGAATAGGAATTCAATAGATGTAATTTAAGGTGACCCTCGTCAAGCTAAGACATTTTCGTCGAAAAGCTTTTTATAGATTGTAACAATCTTGGATTTTTAAACATACTAAGCTTATTATTAATATAATATATGTTAGATTATATATCTTATTTTATTTGGAATGGATGAAATTCAAATAAACAATTGTGTTGCTTTCCTGTTGTGTACTGTTCCTGGGTCATCGGGGTGCTTTAAATATTAGAGGATTTTAGTTTTACTCTAAATTAGCCACCTGCGTACAGCAATAGAATATGCAAAATATAGAAATGTTAATTGCGATGTAACGAATGAATGCAATGTAACAGTCGAAGAGAGTGGCTACGTCTGGCTATACTCTCGGCCCTCGGGGCGTAACTCCAACGATTTAGTAATTTTCCACGCTAAGAAAGCCTGAGTGAGCAAAATGTACAGCCTTGGCTCGTACATTATTTATTAATTATGTCAAAATTAATAACATCTTTTTACCATCTTGTGTTATTTTGTAATTGTATACAAAATATGAGTAAACCCAGGAGATAATCTCCTGTTTCCTTTAAATGCTTGTTACATATCCATTGCACTCCCTTTGCCCGCCCGGGGTACAGGTATAACCAATACCTGTACCCCTCTGACGCAACACCGAAAAAGTAGGAAATGGACAACAGATACCAATAGCTTTTGATCGGATACCTCACATCGGACCGGTCAATTCTCAATTAGTAATAAGTCCATATTGTAGATTATTTGTCTAGCACCTCATATCGGGCCGATTAAATAATCATATTTACATAAGTCTCAATTATTGTACTATTAATTAATTAAAGTAATTTAAATACATTTTGGTTTCTTTGGGATTCACCGCTGGCCCTCACTTAATTTGCTGCTATTATTGGATGCTTCTTCTCACAAACATTTTGTAAACAAGAAACTTGGATTTTAAAGAATGACGAGTTTGTTGCCAGTTCTCGTCCGTTCAACTGTCATTATTTAAAAGCAGCCTTGCGATTCTGTAACTCACTTTTCGAACTCTCACAGCGGTTTTCGCAGCGGCGGTCGCGCTCAAATCAGTCGTGAAGCAGTCATTTTATGATTTGGCATTCTGATAAACAATAAACTACAAGCTCCTTATCAAAAAGAAAACTTGAGCAGCGCACCGTGGGCGTATTAAGAAACTAATTGGAAGTACGAACTCTGTAGTGACATCTATAATCTACGGCGGCAGTCCGATGACGTCATGAAATGACGTTTGAATCGCGCTATCAGTATTTCTGTGAGGAAAGGTTAGTTATCGTCCCTTGAGGTTGGCGGTGCTTGAGATTGCTGGTGGCGCCGTGGGGTTTTAGTGGTTATGCACAACAGCGAGTCCCACATAACCCTTCCCCACCAAGTCAACCGTGCCGCGGAAGGGTATGCGTAACGCATTTCCCCACCAAAAAAGAAAAGAAAAATCTATACATTTGACGTTCTTTTAAATAGATGAATAATTCGGACCTGTTTAATACCCAAAAACACTGATTTTTTTAAATAGTTTGATAATTCAGACTTGTAGTCTTAATTAATTTAATTTTAACAAAATATGCTACTATTACAGATTACTCCAATGCGGCAACTATTTACATTTATATCACATATAAAACAATACATACACAGAAAAATATTAAAAAAAAAAATATTTCTTACACCAAAGGAACTAACATAAAGCAGACCTTTTGTCAGTTCACTCAAGGGATAATTAAAAACGTCTGATAGTGAATGCAGTTCATAAATTATTTCTATACATTGTGTCATGTGTGCCCTCGTCGAGAGCTTTTGCTGAGGATGCGAATAGTAAAGGTGGTCAATGTCGCCTTTTAACGTAACCATCAGACCCTGAGGCCTAGGCACAGGAGCACTGCATGATGGTTTCTGGTGGATAAGATACATGCTAAGCGCAAATTCTCAGCAAACTCTGAGTTCGTTGTAGCGCATAGAACTTTGAATAAAGTTGGACTCCTGAGCGGGTAAAATGGGTTCATACATAGCACACATTCTACAATACAGATGTCTGATGATTTTTTTGTACCCGCTCCAGCATCACCCTATACTTTCTTTCATGAGGATCCAAGATTGCGCCATTATACTCCTGGAGACTTCTCACTAATGAATTGTAAAAGATTCGAATGATAGGAATTTGTGAAGTCTCTGGCCTGCCTTATTAAAAATCCAAAATTTCTCAGTACTTTCTTAAATATTTGATCTTCTTAATGTGATTCTTTTTGTTCCATTACTTTTGTCTAAATAAGTATGTCTCAAGTATTTTTGCACATTCTTATCTAAACATTTTTTCCTCACAGTGGTTGCATGGAAGAGATCGCTCGAAAGCGATGAGGCCGCCAGTTGCCCTCCTTTTTATTTAATTATGTCAATTGTATTATATTTCCGTAGGTACATGTTATGCAGTGTTAATTAATAAAATAAATAAATCCCCAAATGTCAATTCTGAGTAGAACAAACATTAAAACCTTGTTCAACTCGCTTAAGCGAAATCGTGTCTAGTCCTTTAAACAAGAAATTGCTTAAAAGTGCTCACGGTTCGATACATTTCTACATTTTAGGAAGATATTTAAATCATCAGCAAACAGTTTGATAATACTGGGCTTAGAAAAAAACTTTATCTTTATATGAAGCATCTGCAATAATTGCATACGAAGAATTTGGCAAATAAATGATATTCAATCATATCAGCTTTAGTTCATGGAAATAAATAAATTTACTGGATTTGCTATCCAATCATTTCCTTAATCCAGGCTTTGATAGAATGATTGAGAATAACAGAATATAACCAGCGAGTTATTTATTAACTTAAATAGTTTTATGAATAAAAACTTTACAGTAGATCAGTTTACTTTAATTTTTTCTTCGTTACTGTAGATTAAAAAAAACACTTAACCATTCTCCAAATAAAAATAGCATTTAGTAACATCACAGTGATAGCAGCGATTAAAATAGCAGTTACGGCTAATAGCAGTGGTTTTCGTAGTATTCCATTAGTGACATGCCAGTGGCTGGTGATTTTAAATGACTTCCACCATACTTAAGTATATGCTCAATCCACCACATGGCCAGTTCCAAGGGTGCTACGGGATGCTCTCTCATAAGAGAACGTAATTTTACTATGTTCTCTTTGTAACTGAATTAGAAATATTAATTTATTAAAATATTGTAAGACGTTATCATAATAGCGATAGAATAGTAATACCTAAAACCGTTAAATCGTTAAAAAAGTCACAATGCTGTCACTTTGAAACTTTCGAGGCACGCTCGAGGCCCGCGATAGAAGCTATGCAATAGCTTAAAACCCTTGTGTAGTAATCAGTCTAGTCACTCCCTTAAAAACAGTACATATCTATCTCGTTTTATTTTACAGTGTAAATACAATTAAAGAGAAAGAGATGAGACATTTAATGAATAAGAGTAAATTTTGTTATTTTCAAGTCGTTAACGAGTGGAATTTTGGTCTGACTCTCCTATTGGGACAAGCCGTGATGGTTGAGGTGGAAGGGTGGAGAGGCTGCTGGTTATTGTTATTGTACTATTTGTTAAATGAAAGGAACTGAAAGAAGCAATAAATCGAAAGCTAATGATGTACTATCCCATTGCATACATCTTAATGGAAATGGGCGGGGCATACCGCTTGCAAGATGGACAGAGGGACAAAAAGGATGATAAGGTAAAAATACCCACCAGGGAAAATAAAGAGAGGTCACCCTCTTGCACGGAGAGCTGAGCTTAAAGAGGTTGGGGAAGACAGATAGAGCAAATAAATGCTCAAGGAAGAGGAGGTGGAGCCAATCGAAGGGGGCATTTACTCTTTAAAACGTTTATAAAAAAAATATACTTAGTATAAATGTGGAATAAATGACGCCTAGTTAATTATTATTGTTAAAAAAAATGTTATTAAGAAATTTGTAAGGCGTTATATATAGGTACTTATTTATTGAAAGTCACTGAATACAACATTTTTGTCTATAAACACAGGTCCTAATTCATAAAACCTCGCTGTTTTATAAAGTACATTTTTGTCTCTTTCTATCACATTATATTTATGCTGTTATGAAAAGAGACAACAGAGTCTTTGTTAAAATGGTGTAATTTGTTAACGTACGAGCCGAGATCAATTGGAACTACTTTTTTCGCCCTGGAACAAATACATCATTTTATATGAATCGTATACCTCTTATCCCCAAGAAGTCTTTCAATTGCATTCCTAAAGTTGTCCTCTGTCAGCTGATAAATATCGAGCTGAAGGCCAATTTTGTGATGTACATATTTCTCCACATTGTACCACTGATCACCAAGCATCGGTATTCCCAGGAGGGGTACAGCTGCATTAATCGCTTCGTCGGTCGATTGTAAACCTCCTTGGGTGATAAAAAGCTTGGATGTTCTGAAAAGTGGATGAAATAAGACTATAAAAAACATTTGAAGTGAAAAATTGTTTTGTTTATTGGAGGTTGGAAGTAATTTTGTTTAACCAAAAACGCATAACATAAATTTATGACAATAAATAGGACTTTTTACTTACTAAGAAGAGAAGGCTGTGGGAACCATTTGTAAAGATTAATATTTTTGCCTTTTCCAGGTATGTCATCCTTGTCCCACTTCCACAGAACATCATAAGGTAAGTGAGACAGCACTTTTGTCATGGCCTCAATTCTTTCTGGCGGAAGCACGGAGGCCTTTACACTTGTACCAAAACTGACATAGATAACACCATTTATTGACGAATCCAAGATTTGTTTAAGCTCCTGGAATGATAATATATTTTAAGCATAATAAATGTAGGCGCAAGTCATGTAGTTAGTAGTTTTTAAAACTCTTCTTGCTTTAAAACATTCTTAGGTAGGCCTTCTTTGTAATTATTTTATGCTGAAATATTTCATCCTGATAATTTTACGTCTATAGGTATAGCGATTTTAAAAGGCTGCAACGCACTTGAGATCTTTCTAGAATCGATATTGTTGATAGGGCATGGACAAAGGTTTGACTTACAAGTATATGAGCCATCTACATGTAATCCCTCGTTCTATAAAACCAAATATGTCCTTCTTAAAATATATGATACATTGGCAGTATAAATTACCTTTGAAAACTCCTGCTCCTTTGGTTGATGAATACCTCCAACAAATATTATGTTTGGTGGTACTGGACGATTATTCGCCCAAATGGGATGTTCATTCAACAGTAATAACTGTACATTTTTCTGTAGTTCCTTGAAATTTGGCACATCTTCACCGAAATTTCGTCTCATCATTTCATAATCAAACTCCTCGGTTTCTGCAACTATGTATTCAACAAAATAATTTTTGAACAGCTCTTGTGTGCTCTTTTTCGAAGAGCGTAAGGTTGTAGAGCTTCTGAGAAACCAATGAATGGTATAAAAGTGGATGATATGGTGCTCCAAAGGAATTATAAACAGAATGGCCAACTCCCAAAGAGCTGATTTGGATAACCGGTACTTTAAACACGTGACTTAATCCCAACAGTGGACGAACGTAAGATTCCACCAACAACAAATCAAACTTCTGCTTATACAACTTCTTGAATTCGGGTACTTGAATCTGCATTTCCGCCAAAACAGTTATTCTTTCAAATCTGTCCTTAAGCTCTTTGAGGAAACCATCTTTTGAATTTTTAGATTTTTCAAGCCATTTATCTTTATCAGCATACAACAGTTCATGGACGTCAATTTCTCTTAAGTTTGGGAGTGGTTTATCTTTAGGAAACGCTGGGTCCGTAGTAAGAACTGTTACTTGGTGTCCACGTCTTGCAAGTTCATGTATGATGGGTCGAAATGCACCTTGATGACTGGTAGCAGGAGTAGGAAATATACCCAGAATTCTTGCAGAATCATTAAATGTTATGCCAATGAGGAATATTAATAATGTATTAAACGGACACATGTTTGCGTGCTACTAGCTGGCGTATGCATCGTAATCATATTTAATTATGATAAAAATATTAAAGGCGAAACCGCGTATAATATTTTTATCATAACTAAATAAGGCCTAAGGTTAATAAACCTTCAAGTGCTACCAATAATAACTTTGTAATAAAAATTATGTCATAAACTAATCAGTAGTAACCCAGATTGTTATAGTATGTAATAAGTTATTTCAAGACAATATTTAAAAACTTCAATTTAAAGTGGTTTGTAAGTACTTTACGTTGTAGACAAATTAAAATTTTACACCTTTACCTTTAAGCACAAAAACTTTATTCATGTTTTGCAAATAAATTAAACAAACAACATTGACGACTCATTGGTCTAGTGGTTAGTACCCCTGACTGCGAAGCCATGGGTCCCGGGTTCGATCCCCGGCTGAGACGAACATCGATGTTATGAGCATTTGGTGCTGTGCTTAGGTCTTGGGTGTTTAAATATGTATTTATATGTCTATCTATCTAAATTATGTATGTATATCCGTTGCCTAGTACCCATAACACAAGCTTCACCAGCTTAGCATGGGACTAGGTCAATTGGTGTGAATTGTCTTCAAAAAAAAAAAATTAAATTACTATTTTACCGACATTTAACAAATCATCAATGTCATTTAATTATACATTTTACTAAGAAATTCTGCATTATCAGACCTACCATAGGTTATCACTCGGAATTTGTAAAATATTTGGCAACCACGTATATTGCGGAAAACACAAAGTTTCTTGTTTGACACATTTCACATCAGCTGTCAAATCTCACTTACTTTTACGTTCTTTTCACTTGGGTAACACTAGCACAACTACTCGGACGCAAGATGTTCCCATAAAACTACTTTAAACTGTAATTAACTAGTAAACAGATGTTTAAAACATCTAAATACGCGGACCCTATGTTGTCGTGAATTTGTTGCGTCCTCTATTGACTTACATTTTAAATCTACAAATCAAGTCGTTATTTTGAAACTAATCTATTCATCGAATTGTAGAAATTAATAAATAAAACTAAATTAAATAACCATCTAGCAATAAAGTGTTAAAGTCCAAAGATTACATATTATTTATCTAATACAAATAATTATTATCTACCTACGCATAGTCATCATTATTTGAATGATAATATTGAATCACCAAGTATTATCGTACAATCCCTAGACGAGCAAGAAATAATAATAAACAATTACGTCATTGTAGTTTTAAATGTTATGTCAAGTAAATATCTAATATTATCTATTAATAGTCGAATAACTTTTCAGATACTTAGATACGAAAACTATAATTTTCATTTGAATATACTGAATACTAAAAATACTTAGTTTGATAATTCTGGGCTTACAACGAAATTTTATGTTTATATAAAGCATCTGCAATGATGCCACCTTCCTTTTAATGTATACGAAGAATTTGGCAAATCAATGATTTTCAATCATATCAGTTTTAGTTCAAGGAAATAAATAAATTTACTTGATTCGCTATCTATCCAATCCTTTTCTTAATCCAGGCTTTGATATAAAGATTGAGAATAACAGAATAAAAACAGCGAGTTCATTATTTGCTAAAATAGTTTTATGGATAAAAACTTTACAATAGATCAGTTTACTTTAATTTTTTTCTTCGTTACTCTAGATTTAAAAAAACATTTAACCATCCTCCAAATGAAAGTAGAAATTAATAGTATCACAGTTATAGCAGCGATTAAAATAGCAGTTACGGCTAATAGCAGTGGTACTTCGTAGTATTCCATTAGTGACATGCCAGTGGCTGGTGATTTTAAATGACTTCCACCATACTTAAGTATATGCTCAATCCACCACATGGCGAGTTCCAAGGGTCCTACGGGATGCTCTCTCATAAGAGAACGTAATTTTAATATGTTCTCTTTGTAACTGAAATATAAATATTAATTTATTAAAATATTGTTAGACGTAATCATAATTCCGATAGAATAGTAATAACTAAATCCGTTAAATCATTAAAAAGAGTAACAATGCTGTCACTTTGAAACTAGTTAAATGTATTAAATTTTCTAACTACAACTTCTTTTTTCTTTTTGTTCGTATTGAACTTTAGTTCAATACTAAACGGTGTTCTGGGTAACGTAATAAGGGACACAATAAGCGTAACAATTAATTTTAATAAAAATCATATACATAGTATAGTTTTTAAATATATTGTCTTGCTTACATGAGGTTTTCTTAAATCACTGGAAATATATAAAAGAATGTGTGACATTAAACATAGAAGAAGAGAAAAAGTGATGAAATACTTTTTATGAATAAGAGAGTAAATTTTGTCATTTTCAAGTCGATTACTAATCGGATATATATGTTAATGTTATGTTATGTCTATATTCACGATCAGGTTATATCTGTTAATTTTAGTTTAATAATTTAATAAGAATGGAAGGCATTTGTCTGACTCTCCTGCTGGAATTAGCCGTGACGGGTGAGGTGGAGGGGTGGAGGGACCGCAACTAATTATTGTTCTTGTATTGTTTGTTATAAATATAAGGAACTGAAAGAAGCAAGCATTGAAAAGCTAATGATGTACTATCCCATTGCATATACCTTAATGGAAATGGACGACCACATTGCTTGTATGAAGAAGGACAGAGGGACAAAAAGGGTAATAAGGTGAAAAGACCCACCAGGGAAAATGAAGAAAGGTCACCCTCTTGCACGGAGAGCTGATGAGCTTAAAGAAGTTAGTGAAGCCAGAAAGAGCAGAAAAATGCTCAAGGGAGGGAGGTGGAGCCGGTCGAAGGACCCATTTACTCTTTAAGACGTTCATGAGAAAAATATTCTTAGTTTTGTATAAATTTGGAATAATTGACGCCTAATTAATTATTATTATATTAATAAGAATCTAGTTTGTGTCATTAAAAAAAATATGAGGCGTTTTAAATTATATATAATTAAATTCAAATTCAAATTCAAAAATCATTTATTCACGTAGGTAACACAATGTACACTTGTGATTCGTCATTAAAAAAATAAATATTAATGCTTCTAATTTTACATTTACTGCCAGTTCTCAAATCAAGGGCGTAGAACGGAAGAGAAGAACTGGCAATAAACTCTCCGCCACTCTTTTTAATCGCCATGTTTTTTTTTACACAACGTTTGTAAGGAGCTGCAACCATTACACCATGTTCCTCATGACATTTTTAGTAATTAATAATAATAACATAAATAAAAACAAAGACTTGTCCCCTATCAGCAGGAGGCATGGTGAAATAGGAGCACGCACTTACATTCTCGTGGGAACAACACGCAAACACATAGTCGAAATAATTAACTAATTAGTAATTGAAAGTGTAATTAGTCTTATATAACACTTTAATGGAGAAATAAAAATAATCATGTCTAAAAATCAAGCCCTAATTAAAAAAAACCTCGCTGTTTTATAAAGTACATTTTTGTCTCTTTCTATCACCTTATGTTGTAATGAAAAGACACAGCAGTATGTTGAAATGGTGTAATTTGTTTTCATTTTACTTAATGACGTGAGCTGAGATCAATTAGAGCTACCTTTTTTTACTGGAACAATCATTTTATTTTTTTCGAGGAATATAGTTATTATAGTGTACCCATTTTACTCAGTAATGTATCCAACTTTGTTTGTTTGGGATATGGTTGTTGGAGGTAGGGAAGGACCTTACCATCACATTATATTTTTTAAGATTCTTAGAGGTACGGAAGGTACGGAAATGTTGGAGACTGGGGCTGCGTGTGCCAAAACCACACTCGGCGTGGTAAGCGGTCGCAATTGCTGGCAGTGCCTCGGGCGCGTACGAATTTACTCAGAGAAGCACTATTTACGCGTGTCTTGCGCACCATAAATATTATTGCTTGTGAGACGGATATATTTAGTTGCACACTGGCTGGATTTATAATTAGTTATAAAAAAGACTAGGTTTTAAGTTTTTACTTGTTATGTCCATATTATGTTTTTAGTTTAGTTTGTTGTATTAGTATTAAGTTACTGTAAAAATAGGAAATAAGGAAAATAAATTTTATAGAAATAAAAATGGTTTACCTCTTATCCCCAATAAGTCTTTCGACTGCATTCCTAAAATTGTCCTCTGTCAGCTGATAAATGTCAAGCTGAAGGCCAATTTTGTGATGTACATATTTCTCCACGTTGTACCACTGATCACCAAGCATCGGTATCCCCAGAACAGGTACAGCTGCATTAATCGCTTCGTCGGTCGATTGTAAACCTCCTTGGGTGATAAAAAGCTTGATTTTTGGATGTTCTGAAAAGTGGATAAAATAAGACTGTAAAAAACATTTGAAGTGATAAATTGTTTTGTTTATTGGAGGTTGGAAGTAATTTTGTTTAACCAAAAACGCATAACATAAATTTATGACAATAAATAGGACTTTACTTACTAAGAAGAGAAGGCTGTGGGAACCATTTGTAAAGTTTAATATTTTTTCCTTTTCCAGGTATGTCATCCTTGTCCCACTTCCATAGAACATCATAAGGTAAGTGAGACAGCACTTTTGTCATGGCCTCAATTCTTTCTGGCGGAAGCACGGAGGCCTTTACACTTGTACCAAAACTGACATAGATAACACCATTTATTGACGAATCCAAGATTTGTTTTAGCTCCTGTAATAATAATATATTTCAAGCATATTAAACAAGTGTAGGCGTTGCGTAGTTTTTAAGCCTCTTCTTGCTTTTAAACGTTACATAGGTAGGCCTTCTTTGTAATTCTGTTATGCTGAAGTATTTCATCCTGATAATATTACGTCTATAGGTATAGCGATTTTAAAAGGCTGCAACGCAGTTGAGATCTTTCTAGAATCGATATTGTTGATGGGGCATAGACAGAGGTTTCACTTAAACGTATATGAGCCTTCTACATGCAATCCCTCGTTCTATAAAACCAAATATGTCCTTAAAATATATGATATATTGGCAGTATAAATTACCTTTGAAAACTCCTGATCCTTTGGTTGATGAATACCTCCAACAAATATTATGTTTGGTGGTACTGGACGATTATTCGCCCAAATGGGATGTTCATTCAACATTAATAGCTGTACATTTTTCTGTAGCTCCTCGAAATTTGGCACATCTTCACCAAAATTTCGTCTCATCATTTCATAATCAAGCTCCTCGGTTTGTGCAACTATGTATTCCACAAAATAATTCTTTAACAGCTCTTGTGCTTTTTCGAAGAGCGTAAGGTTATAGAGCTTCTGAGAAACCATTGAATGGTATAAAAGTGGATGAGATGGTGCTCCAAAGGAACTATAAACAGAAGGTCCAGCTCCCAAAGAGCTGACTTGGATAACTGGTACTTTAAACACGTGACTAAATCCCAACAGTGGACGAACGAATGATTCAACCAACAACAAATCAAACTTCTGCTTATACAACTCCTTGAATTCGGGTACTTGAATCTGCATTTCTACCAAAACAGTTATTCTTTCAAATATGTTCTTAAGCTCTTTGAAGAAACCTTCTTTTGAGTTTTCAGATTTCTCAAGCCATTCATCTTTATTAGCATACGACAGTTCATGGACGTCGATTTCTGTTAAGTTTGGGAGTGGTTTGTCTTTAGGAAACGCTGGATCCGTAGTAAGAACTGTAACTTGGTGTCCACGTCTTGCAAGTTCATGTATGATGGGTCGAAATGCACCTTGATGACTGATGGCCGGAGTAGGAAATATACCCAGAATTCTTGCAGCATCATTAAATGTTATGCCAATAAGGAATATTAATAAAGTTTTAGACAGGTACATGTTTGCGAGCAACTAGCTTGCGTATAAATGGAAATCATATTTAGTTATGACAAAAATATTATACGCGTATTAACCTTCATATTATGCTACTAAGAATTATTTTGTACAGAAAATTATGTCATAAAATAAAGTACCCCAGATTGTTTTAAAATGTAATAACTTAAGTTATTTCATGACAATATTTAAAAATTTCAAATTATGGGGGTGAAGTACTATGCGTTAGTACGCAACTTGAGTTTTTAGAGCTATCTTTACCTTTTAGTTTTTTTTATAATACAACGTAAGCACCAAAAGTTAATTTATGTACTGCAAATAAATTGTTTAAGAAGATTGATATCGTGCGTGTCCTGGTTTAATAAATTACTAATTATATCCAATTCTTGACTTTAAATCATAAAATAAATGATTTCGCAAACCTAGAATTCACATTATACCGGAATTGCAATCGCTTTTAACCTTTGAATACGTTCACTAGATACAATATTTAAGAAACACTCGTTACAAATACAAATAACTTTTGAATTACTATTTAACCGACATTTAACAAATCACCGATGATATTTAATTTTACAATTTACAAAAGAATTTTGCATTATAAAACACCACTACCTGGTAGGCTATCGATTGGTACTTGTTTAATATAAGGCAACATCGTATCTACCGGAAAACATTTAATTTCATTTCACATCAGCTGTCAATTGTCACTTACTTTTACGTTCTTTTCACTTGGGTAAAATTTACACGACATTTCGGACGCTAGGTGTCCCCAGAAAACTACTTTAAACTGTAATTGACTAGTAATTAGATGCGTAAAACATGAAAATAATTTATCTATACATCGAATTGTAGAAATTAATAAATAAATGTTTAAATTAAATAACCATCTAGCAATAAAGTGTTAAAGTCTAAAGATTACATATTATCTAATACAAATAATTATTACCTACGCATAGTCATCATTATATGAATGATAATATTGAATCACCAAGTATTATCGTACAATCGTTAGACTAGCAACAAATAACTATAAATAATAACGAAATTGTAGTTTTAAATTTTATGTTAAGTATTTAACAATATTAATATATATTAATAATAGTCGAATTATTTTTCAGTTGTACGAAAAATATGATTTTATTTCAATATGGCAATACTAGAAATACTAACCTAAAATATATTACGAAAGGAGAATGAAGACTTTATTACAGTAATTGAACGTATAATATACGTAAAACATGATTTTGGAATTTATTTCCCATAATTGTGAGTTCTTTTAGACATTTATTTCAATAAAAATTTTAAAAGTATAACTATACATTTGTTTTATTTAAAAGTTAATTTTATTTAAATCATTATTATTATTCGCGTGTCTAGTAAGTTCATCCCAAATAATTATTATAAGTATACTGTAATCGAATAATTTATAATGGAAGCTAAAAGCTTTGCCGTGATAAATTACAATTTTTTTTCGACGCCGGCTCTAAAATATCGAGTGTCTTAACTCTACTGTTATCAGATATGTTTGATCATAAAAATACATGATATTACGGCATGATATTCAGGCAGTATCAGGCACAAAAGACTGATTATATTACAGAGTCTAATCTGTAAAATATTGAATGAAATTCCCTATTATCAGATATTTTTAAAATAATCAAAAATGAGAACCGCTCAAACGATAATACACATAATTTTTTTTTCTTATCTGAATGTTTCGAATTAATGCCACTGACCACGAATGATATACAGCAACACAAACAACGAGTTGTCTCATAAATTCACGATTGAAAAACATATATTTAAAGTATATAGTAACATTGCAAATGCAGAAATCCTAAAGTGACAATACTTCACTTACTAGAGAAACGAAAGTGAATTATAGTTGTTTTTTTTTTTCTTTCATTCGACGGTGACATTGATTGAAAGCAATTTGGTATCAGGTTTCGTAATAAATCAAAGGTAGCCGTTTAAATAAAACTTTAATTAAATTCAAGAAAATACCCAAAGAAATGTTTATCGTGACAGACGTTTTCAATTATATTTTTATATCAGCTATTTAATATTTTGGTATCAATGAAATAGTAAGTAAGGGTTCGCATATGTGTACTTTAACAGAACTAACAAAGCTATATGTACACACATACATACGTTATATTCTTGAACATGTCTACAAACTTGTTTAAATAACCGTCACCAACAATGGTGATACATTAAACAAATATGTTATTTCTGTTCGGAAAGTGTAAAACTCAAACAGATTCTTACTTTTAAAGAATTAACATTTTAAGAATTAACATTTCAACATGCATTCACAATTCGGTTAAAGAAACAAAATTTAATTTACTTCTGACATATTTCTTGTGACTTAGGGTTTTTTCGTCGTTATGTCATATGTCAAGTTCTGACAATTGACAAGTTAGTTATTTGACAAATTAAGTATGTTAAATTATACTTATTTTTCGTAAGTTCACCATTAGTATAATTAATAATTTATAGTAATAAAACATAAATATACTATTAAGAAGTAAGATTAGTATTTTGTTTATTTATTTTAGTATTATATTTGTAATAAAAATAAATAATTACCGATGTAATTGACCGACCGATAAAATATGTGTCACCATTAAAATGCTACGGTATCTGTGTGCAGATACGCTATAATTATTTCTAAAAAAGAATCGTTAGAAAACACACGCTTTATATAGAAAGCTAAACAGAAAACAGAAAATAAATTTTAATAAATATTAATTAAGAATAATGTAATTTTTTTTAATAAATATAAGTTATTAATAGTTTGAATAAGAAAAAAAATATTTTATTGTAAAAAAAGCGGGGGTGCTTTTCAGGATATTATCGAAATTATAATCCTTCTCATATCTGTCAATTAAATATTCATAACTATTGACACCATGCACGCGTTTTTTTTTTCGGAGTATTGCATTGTCATCGATCTTTGACAGGTGCGCAAAGTTTGAATTAAATATGATCGTTCAAAGTAGGACAAAATCGAGCTCAAAGGGCTTACATACATACATACAGGTGAAGCTAATATAAAGCGTGTAAAAATAATGTCCAGCGGTTTGAAGCCGTAACAGACGGCTCGACATAGACATTTTATAGTAGTTATTTTCGTTATTTGGCGACTACGTAGGGAAAACTAATTATTGAAATGGATTTTAAATAGATTAAAAAAGTTTGCGTAGTGTAACTTTGAAACCATAATGTTTGTTTAATAGAACAGGGCGCAGACGGCCGGGAGACTTACCTTACTTACCTTACCTTACCTTACCAGCAATCCCAATAGGCTCGAACTTGGCAAGTAGTGCGTTGCCGCAATACAAAGGTAACTTTGAAACTAAATATCCAGGATTAGTTTTATGAGTATTTTTATTTACATTTTTCTTCACTCTGTGGAAGAAGGATGGTGTATTGTTCTTCCAATCTAAACTCAAAATATCTTTATTAATATAGGTACACTTATGAACGTCAAAAAGAAGTTAAATTAATTGTAAATTTACATTTACTACCAGTTCGCAAGTCAAGGGCGTAGAGCGGGTAAGAAGAACTGGTAAAAAACTTTCCGCCACTCTTTTTAATCGCCAAGTATTGAGTCATACAATTTGTTTGAACTGGAGCAAATGTATCCCAAGGATTAGGATCATTTAAGTATTCGTCAAATTTATAAAAGGCTTTTTTGATTAATTTACGTTTAACGAGGGCTTTGAGTGTATTTATTGATGATTCTCAAATGATATAAAGGGAGGATCCTCCAGTTTAATCACTGACTTGCACGGCGGTCGATAGAGGACAAATCATTGTTTTTAGTTTATTTTATTATTATTAATTAACTATTAATTACTTAAGATGTCATGTGGAACATGGTGTAACGGTTACAGCTCCTTACAAACATTGTGTAAAACAAAAAACTTGGCGATTAAAAAGAGTGGCGGAGAGTTTATTGCCAGTTCTTCTCTTCCGTTCTACGCCCTTGATTTGAAAACTGGCAGTAAATGTAAAATTAGAAGCATATAATATATTATATTTCTTTGTTGTACTTATCCTTAGTTGGAATAACTTCGTTAGCGCGTTTCAAGGTATGACGTCATCGTAGTGATTAAAGCCGTAGGTGTGGTTATAACTCTATTCTTCATTCTGTTAATTTTGTGTCACGGTGCGCGCGCATCGTAAAATTTCACTCTCATCAATTTTTCGTAACGCGCCTTAAGAAGTTTAACTTCAATTAGTGGGCAACTTAATTCTGTTAATTTTATGTCACGGAGCGCGCGCATCGTAAAATTTCACTCTCATCAATTTTTCATAACGCGCCGAAAGAATTATAACTTCTAAAGTAAGTGTTTAATACTGTAAATTTAGTTCACATGGAAATGTTGAATTTGTATCCAGTATAGTTTTTTACTGTATATTTATATCATTAGATAAATCAATAAAATTATAAGAACTATTATATATGAATTTCCACAGATACAAAGTCATCGCATGGAGTACAATTACATAGGACTTAGGATGACACCTTGTCAGTAGCTGTAGCTGTGTTTGTCAAGTATTATTCAACATACACATACTTGCCTTCTATGCCTTTGTGCTAGCGTCGTTTGTATTCGATTTAGTTTGTAACTCAAATCAAAGCCAATTAGCTCCACTCTTAGGTATTAGCCTTTAAGCCTCCGCACTAAGAGAATAGATAACACCAATATAATAACACCATAACCACCACTGTAGATGTTCATATAATTAGAAAGACTTCTTATGAATAAAGAAAGTATAACTTGAACGTAAAAATGTTCGTAAAAAATGTATACATTCAATAATTAATAATCATGCAATAATATAGCCACTCAAATAAATAACTAATTAATTACATAAAATATAAAACATATCATACTTGTAATTACAATATGAGTCTTACACATGTAGGAGCTTATTTTCTGTTACTTGCCGCTTGGACTCCTAATTAGAAGCATTTAAAAAAAGTATCTCGT